ATAAAAGATCAGCAATAAGTATTAGAGAGAGAATTTTTTCAATTTAACTTTTGGCATATTATTTGATGGATTCTAAGTTGGAATAAAGGAGATATTGGAAGTTGAAGTTAGTACTTTAAATCTAAGGGTAGTAAGTGATCCGATTACCTAGTGGTTGTGTATTCAACTATATCTTAAGAAATTTGACAAGATTTTGACGAAAAGTTTTTTAGATTGTGTATAATCATGTTAATAAATTTTATATATAAATTTTGTGGCATTTGGATTTTGGATTTAAGAGATATGAAGAAAATAGTATTGAGGTGCTTATAAATTAGGATTTAGAGTACCTTCTAGGATTTCTAAGATGTTAGAAGATTGGTAATAGATTTATAGTTTATTTTTTCTTAGTAAAGCTTAAAGATAGAATCTATATTATATAGAAATTTGAAAAAAATTGAATGACTGGATCAAGAGATATGAATTTTTAAAGTTCAAGGTAAAAATATCCTTTGAGGGAAGATAATGTTTAGAAAGGTTTTGTTATAATTTGAGCTTTTGTGCAATATAAAGGGATATTTGGGAGCTAAGACATCATATATAAGCCAAAGCTAAACTCTCTACAGCTAGGTACCTAATGTATTCATAGATTGCAAATCATGCCATATAAGAATGATCAACCTCCAAATATCAATCTAACCTATCTTAGGAGTTTTTTAGTCCAATCCTACTCTCAACTTAATCCTAGTATCAGCCATGCTAATTATTTATAATTTTTAACCTGATTTTACCAATTTATAGTCTTTCTAAGGCAATAAAAGAGTCTTTATAGCCTAAAAGGTAAAATTACTAACTAATCTTTAACCTATTAACTATTAAGACAAAAAAATAAACCAAGAGGCTTTTATAGAAGCCATGTTTAAACATCTTGAATTATTATTGAACTAAGATAATTAGATAATAATTTAAAATTTATTTTTTATTATATTTTTATCATATAGTCATATTACATAACAATAATATGTAACACATTATCATATGGTATGATTTTCTATTTGAGAATACATAAGATACCTAGTTATAGAGAATTCAACTTTAATTTAGTAAAAAAGTTATAATAAGTAATGTATTCTTATTATAGAAGCCAAAAAAAATAATAATATCAAAAGATATTCCATTGATAAAATCCTTTTATATTTAAAAAATTTTATACATAAGGCTTTCTAAAGCATCTTAAAATGCCTTAACATCCTTTGTTATACCAAATTGTAATTAACTATTTGCCGGTAAGTTTGATTTCTCATAAGCTCAAAGAAAATCCATAATCCTCTTATATATATTCATATTTATATCATAATTTTTTCATAGCTCCATATCTCCATCTTTAACATATGTGTAAAGTCTTGGCTCCCAAAACCCTCTTTACTTTGCATAAAATATCCAAATTATAATATAAGTTTTTGAAAATATTTTTCTTTTATAAAAGATTTTTTTCTCTAAACTTTAAAAATTCATATCTCTTGAAAAAAAAATTTAATTTTTTTCAAATTTTTAGATAATTTAGACTTTATTTTTAAGCTTTATTATAAAAAAATAAACCATAAATCTACTACAAAATATTTGGCATCTTAAAAATCCTAATAAGTACTCTAAATCCTAATTTATAAGCACTTGAATACTATTTTCTTCATATCACAAAAATCCAATATTTAAATACCACAAAAATTTGTATAAATTTTATTCAGAAAATAATACATATTTTTAGAAATTTTCAGCTAAAGTTTTGTCAAATTGTCCAAAATATAGTTCAAATCACAATCACTAGTAAATTGGTTCACTTACTTCTCCTATGTTGCAAGCACTAACTTCAACTTTCTATAACTCCTTTGTCCTAATATAGAATTCATCAAGCAATATGTAAAAAGTATAGGCAAAAAAGTGCATTCTCTAATTCTAATTGCAGAGCCTTTATTACTTCCTATACATGGTACATTACATCTAAAAGAGTGACAATAGGTATAAAACCAATACCTTAACTTTGAGCACCTATATCTCTGTCATAAAAACTCCAAATTACTCAAAATTTGCACCAAAATCATAGCCAAAAATCTAAACTTCTTAACTTTAGTCTTCCAAATTCAAATCCTCATAAAAGAATAATTCTAATTCTTAATAAGGCCATGCATAGCCTCCTTGAAGCCTATTGGACATGTCTTTTGGCCAATTGCAAATGGAGATTTTCATCACCTATCTCTATTCATCCATATGAATGTCCTAACTACTCTTTTTACTATTAAAATACTTTATTAATTCTTTTTTTTATAAGATTTACATAATATATGTCCTAAATACCAAATAAAAGAAACAAAATAAGATTTCAAAATTCACCAATTTCTAATAAATGTGGCTTTAAACATATAAATTATTATCAATATAAAATCAACTTCAATAGTAGCCCTTTTAAACTAACCTCTTCAAAGTAATAATCTAATCATATTTTATAATTAACTAAAATCTAATAACATGGCTTTCAGTATATTACATAGTAAATTATATATTAAATATATAAGTGCATTATTTTCACATCATAGTTGAATCACAACACAACAACGTGGCTAATTTATTGATCTAGTTTCTAACCTATCAATCAACTATAAACACATGTGTAGTCAAAATAGTATCTATAAAGCTTTTTTAAATTTTTTTAAAAATATATTATAAAATTAATTTAATTTTACTTATTTCTACTTAATCATAAATAATTATTGGAATAAATATGTATGTTTGTAACATTACCTCCCCTCCTAAGAACAAATTCTACAAACAGTAGTTATCATATATTAAAGAAATTCAAGATGCAGCAAATTGTGTTTGCCACATACATTGAGCTTTATTCTCTACAAAGATGGTCAATAGGTCTTCTCAACTATTGTTAGTGTCCCATATCAGAGCAAGAAGACCACTTTGTTATTTGATTATTGTTGAGGTGTTTAGAACTCTTTTGAAATAAAAGATTAGAAACATTGTTAGGAGCTATTTCTATTTCTAATAAAATTATCAAACATCAAGAATCTCTTCTAAAGTCATGATACCAAATATATTGTATCTTAGCATCTATTTGAAGAAAGACATATTGTTCTTGAGGATCTTCATCTCACTTATGTTGTCTTTAAGATTGTGACAATTATAATGTCTTGTTTGATAAGTCAAGAAACAATAGCTCTTCAATTAAATCTACTAGTTATTGATTTTCTATCTCCTTAGCGCCATAAATACACAAAATCTAGAATTAAGGATAGAAATTAGAATGCTATTTTTTCTTAATATTTTTTTTTATAGTAAAAATTTGCTATTTTTCATCTTAATTTTAATGGATGTCATTGATAAAAAGCATCAACCTTCTTTGCTACATTTGCAAGATTCTTTGTTGGCTCTTGTATATATTTATTAATATTATATCCATACCAATGAATAAGATATTTCAACCTATTTTGGTGTTGCTTTGAATTTAAGACTTCTTCTACTTCAAACTCTTGATTATTATCTACTTATGAATTACAAAATTAAATCACTAATGTATTTTAGTACAAAAAATGCACTTATGGTGCTTAAAGTTGCTAATTTAATAAATTAGTATAAGAACTTTGACATAAATAGTAAAAAATAGAATATCAATGTAAGAGGGGATTTCTAATAAATTCTCTTTCATGAAGAATTTTAAAATAAATAATTTCTTTTTAATTTAGTTAATATAGATATATGATTTTTTTTCATCATAGTCTTATTGCCATTAAATATTTAATAGAGCTAGAAGTTAAAAGGGATCTTTAATCTAAAACAAGCAAAAAAAAAAAAAAAAAAAAAAAAAAAAAAAAATCTTGATATTTTTAGATAAATAAAATATAAGGATAGCAATATAATAGTAGAAATAAGGTTGAAAATAGGGAGAGAAAAGGAAAACAAAAAAATAGTAAAAAGAAAAAAAATTTAAAAAGGAGAATAAAAAAAACAAAAATAAATAGTAGAAGAAAAAAAAAAGAAAAGAAAAGATGATGGAGATGATAAAAGAATATCCAAAAATAGTAGTAATCTCTTTGTTGATAGGATCTAAGCTTCCTCAAATTCCTTCTCTTTTTTTTTGGTCAATTTTTATTATTATTATTATTATTATTATTATTATCTTATGAGTTTCAAACTCCAATTTTTTTGGAAGGTTTTTTCTACTTGTTTTCTATGGTTGTGTATTATGGTGGAAGCGAGAGGTATTTTGTTTCATGCCAATCCTATTTTTGCAACATTGATGGTATCAAAGGAGCATCTTTTGACCTTATCTAAATACAATTCTCATGGTGGAAGTATACCACTCAACTTCTTTTTGTGTCGTTATTAAATACTAACACCCAATTTCCAACTTCAATTGGTTTGGACTTAAATGTTGGGTTTTGTCAAACCTCTCTTTATTGCTCAACTTGATAGCTTTAATATAAAATTAATAAATGGATAACCTAATAAACAATGCTTAAAGTTTTAAAAAATATGGACTATTCTAAGTGCTTTGTATTCTATGGTGTTATAATTTAATACAATAGCAACCAAAAGCCAACTTATAAAACAAACATGATGACCAAAATTTGTATTATTTTTCACACTTAGAATACAACCAGTTGTCAAATTACAAAATACTTATATAGAAATGGAGTTATTCTCTCCATCTTTGAGAAATTAAAATAAATTAAGAGACCAACTTTCCTAAAAAAGCCAATGCTTGCCACTAGTTTTTAAGTAGACTTATTAAAAGATATAGACTTATTAAAAGATATAGCAATGATAGTGTAATTAGCAGTAAACTAACAGTAACACCCACATATTCTTAAGAAACTATACATTCTTACCCCCAGGTACATGTCAACTAACCATACCAAAGAAGAATCATTTGAGGTTTAGGTCAGAAGTTTCTGGAGTTTGAATGGTGCTGGCTGAGACGGTGATTCAGAGGGCACACCGTATTAAGATCATGGCAATGCTTTGAAACTTCTAGTGAATATAGCCTTACTAGTGAATCAAATTCGTGATACATCCACTAAATGGGTTTGTGATTCATGGATTTACAGGCCGGAGCAGTTCCCAGCAAAGGGGATGTATCAATCTGATAATCACGTGAATCCTGAAGGGGTAAGGAAATATCCCTCTATCTACTTACACATTAAAACTCGGTGCGCATTACAACCCCTAAGTGGGTTAACTAGGAACTTAGGGCCCAAGACTGACCTGTACTTCAACAGTCAATTTGACCTCTATTTAAATTTAGAGATATGCCCACAAGGAGTTCATGGAGCCTAATTAAGAATCTAGAGAGGGGAATAGACGAACTACAAGTTAAACCACATGGGAGTAATGACAGAAAAGAAAGAAAGAAAAAAAAAAAAAAAAAAAAAAAAAAAGGTTACAAGCAGAAAGGAGAAAAGAAAAAAAGTTGCAAGCAGCAAGACCCCTGCCACAACTTTTTGCAAGGTTGTGCAATAAATAACCCTCACCACTAGGTGCTTAAGTCAAATGCCTACTGCATACTTTGCTGCTCTACACAATTCTTTTTTCCAAGACCTAGCTTGAGTGTCATATCATCTCCTCCACATATATATCTTGTACACAAACAGTGCAGCAGCAATATGGAAAACCCCAGATTCTTTAACGATATGCCTTTCAGTCACCTCTTCCGTCGCTTTGCATCAGGCTACATTTGAAGTTGTAAGAGATTCAGGTCATGAGGGTATGATCAATACATAGAGAGCAAGTTAAAGGAGAAACAATATTCCTACTTCAACACCAAAGAATCAAATCGAAGTGATCAGGCAGCTTCAAAATCATTCCTATTGACTGTTAGACTAAATCAAACATACAAATGCTTAACATATCCTAGTCTACAGCATAGTAATCAACTAACAATTCAGCTTCCCAAAGAATTATGATACGTGGAGGAGCATGTGATTTCGCTAGAGCAGTTGCAACTCGCACAAACTTTCAGCCAACTACACTACACAACAAACTTGAGCCATAGGCTAACCCCAATAACAACAAATGCATCCACTAAATAGGAACTGTGTATTCTGCGTACCTTGCCATGGTCGGGAGCAGGTGAGCTTCTGGGAGATGATAGCCGCAACTTCTTCTCTCCAGGTTGCGAGAGACAATCGGGGCAGAAGAACTTTTCCATCTTTTTCACCTGATCCGGTGTCATACTCATGCAAGATGGGTGGAACCTGTGTGCAGGAATACACATAGCTTTGCAGCTCATTCGTAACATACAACCCTGAACACTTTGATTTTCTAGCATGAACTGGACATGATCTCCAAACATGAGATATAGCAATTAGAAAAACCGAGCAAGTGCTAGATATAACGAATAGAGGTACACGTTCGTGTAACAGGGTAAGTTCACCTTGCGAATATTCAGGAAAATACTGAGATAAAAACAACTTCTACAATAATCCACTGCACTTGCATAGAAAGGAGGAATATAGACCAACCAGTCTTTGCAGATTTCACATTGAACCATCAAGTCGTCAGGATTGTATGGCATTTCACACTTGCAATAACTGCATACACCAGTTGAAGGTCACGATTACTAATACGGCACAAGGATTGTTTTCTATTTAAGGCATCTTTCAGGAAGATGTAACTACAAAGCCAAAATCGTGTAGCATCTGTAGATATTAACTGATGTCGTTTGAATCCTAAGTCGCAAATTCAGTGAACCTTGGCACGTGTACTCTAGAAAACATTAACAAACATGATTTACGCACCCAAAAATTCAAACGAACAGAAAAGAATTACTTACACGGCAACACGGTCAGGAGTGAAACCACCAGTAGATGCTTTGTACTCGAAGCGGCAGAAATAGTCCTCTGCACCAACGCTTTCCAGCTTTGTGTAATTTTTAAATGTGTGCACTGTACATTTTCCCTCTATGGTGTCTGCACTTTGTATGTCATAGTGATCGGAAAGAAAGAGCTCTTTTGTTCCATGGAATTGTCTCCTGCCTCCCATTGACTCTTCGGGACGATAATACCACCGGCAACGCACCTTCACGTTGCTGTTACTTCTACCGTCAGCTTCGATTTTCTCTATCCTCGCAACATAAGATGGTTTCTCAGGATCTTGCCCACGCATTAAGACGGTATCTCCCACTGCACCAAAAATACATCCATCAGACTTCAAATTTATTCCCTTCAATAACAAAGCTAAATTAATAAAATCCTCGCCAGAAGTGCATCAATTACATCCTGGAAGCAGAAGAAACATCACTTCCAGGGTAGCAAATATTTTTCAAACCAGATAAATGTAAGACTATCAGGACAGTCTACATCACTGCGAGTTAGGGGTCTGACAAAGACTCCCACACTAGACGGCCACGTAATGTGGCATGTATCAGTAAAAGAAGTTCCACCGCCGGGACTCCTGTGCTTTCCTTATTTTAAAAAAAAAAAAGAAAAAAAAAAGAAGAAGGTAAAACAGTAAAACCAATAGGAATTAGGAGTGGACTATTAAGGATGCCTGCACTAAACCAGTGCGAGAAAGGTTAATATTTTTAGCACAAGTTATTTAGGAATTTAATACAATGTCAGCTTCTCCCAAAGTTCTTGATCGTCAGACCATTGTCTCCACTGCAAGGTTACACAGTAAGGACATTGAAAATGCACTTGAAGGCATAAAGAACAAATAACGTGATTGTGTCCTGACAAATTAAACAATACTAATATTCAATTCCAACGAACCAAAACGCAATCCAATAAGATTCGCGCCCGAGGAATTCCTAAACTATCAGCATAACTTGAAATGCTCTATATACGAATATCGAGAGTATTCTCACCCTAATATCTCGAGAGATTCTGAAACACTACCTTAAAGGGACCCGCAGCAAGTAACAATATTCCAGCAGGTCCTACTGTTGAAAATTGTCGAGGCCAGTAATTGTATCACCGACTCGCTAACTAGCTGAAAAAGATCCAGTAGGTCTGTCATTTTAAAGACAGAAGGCTAGCAATCTGCTGAAGAATTTGAAGGCCCCACAACTCTTACTTTTTCAGATGAACTTTCAGGCGGCACAAAGTTCTTCCAAGAAAGCGAACGTGATCAGGAGCTATTAATGCATGACATTATTTCCACTGCTCTTCCGCACCATGGATTTCCAGCATTTGGCTCACCTAACGTTACTGAAAAACCATATCCATCTACCGTAACTCAAAGCAACTACAAACATAAGAATAGGAGAAAACAGTTCACGAACTTTTCTTCCGTATCTTGCGGCATTGCGTGCTAAAGACAGGTGAAATGATAATGTTGACATTTGTAGGTCACAACTACACTGTACCAGAGGCCATTTGCACGCAATCAGGATCAGAACATGAAAAGAGACTTTTGATTTTTTTTTCAATAATCCACCACTCACCTTTCACGATTTTGTTTGTGCCTTTCACAGTATACGAGTCCAGAGATTTCTTAGCAGCTTTGGACTTCGCCATCGCCAAAACCAATGTGCAACACTCTCTTCCTCGTCCTCTCCTTCTTTTTCTCCCCCCACTGAGCGTCAAAAATACATGTCACCCCCTGTCCGACACATATGCCCTTCCAAACCTCTGTCCTCTTCTGGACTCTTCAACTCCTGCATCAAATCCTTAAACCTTCTCTCCATGAAATCACACCCTAATACACCGCCACCACCACTCCGCACCTCTTTTTTCGGCCAACACAAACACCTCAACCGCAACCAGAGCGACTGTCATGCACACATGATTTTCAGACCTGCCAAATTAAAAACGAGATACCACTCGCTCTACCACCGCACACTCCCGAAAAACCTACAAAAACGAAGACACCAATCGAAAGCTCTCTTTCATGCACTGAACATCGTCACGGCTCGTAGAGAAAATTGGCGCTTCCGAGTGGTTGGCAGCATCGCAAAACATCCAGCAGGAACTGACCCCCGCACCTCTCAGCTATGGCGGGGAAGTCTGTTCCCTCCCCAAGGCAGGTGCCAACTCCCCCCTTCGTCTCAAAACTCAAATTCTTCCCGATTCCTAGACTCCACGCTTTGCGGAATATTCCCTCTATGTTCTTTTTCAACATGAACATTTCTTGTAGATGTATATCTGATCAGTTTGTCCCGCTTTTACATTCAATTCCACCATACAGCTTGCACCTTACGCCCAAGGAAGATTGGTAGATTTAACTCAAATCTAGAATTTTTCTGAGTTTAGATTCCTCAGGTGTTTCTATGTGTTCCTCGGATTATGTTCGAAGCTCTGGGATTTTTCACTAGGTCGTAGATTTTACTGTACATTAAATAGTGTGTCCAATTTATTGGTATTGTGTTTTTGCTTGATTGGGTGCTTGAATACATTTGTATTTGTACTATTTTTTATGAAGTTTGTCCATGACGAATTAAAAATCATTACCTCACAGGTAGCTTCTTTAATTGTAGATTTTCATTGTACTTATTAGGTTTTTCTTATAAAAGGGGTGTTGTTGGAAGATTTTTAATTTAAAGTTTAAAGTGTTGTGTTGAACTGGATGACTAAAAATAATTCAATAAAAGGTGTAACTAGAATATTTGTAACTAGAATATCATATAATCTAATCATATATAATTAGAATTTTCACAACACATTTCTTTTCTTTTTTAAAAAAAATTATAATATAAAATTAAACAAAATGAATATTTTTTCTCAGAATTTGATTTATTTTCTTAAATTATGTTGTTAGTAAACTAATCAATTCAAAAATAAATTATTAAAAAAAAGAAACCATATTTTTAATATATATATATATATATATATATATTTAAAAAATGATGGTTTTAATACAATTGTCATATAAACAGGAAGAAAAATTTATTTATTTTAAACCTTTATATATGTAATAATATATATAGCATTTTACAAGTTATGTCATAAAGTTATTATTAACTTCTTTTTAAGGATATGAATTTTAAAGAACTAAAAGATCAATAAATTCTTATGTCATTCAAAAAGATTAGAAAATCACTCAAAGATGGTATAATATTAAATTAGAATGGCTATTGCCAAAGACCAAAAGATTAAAAAGACTTGAAACAAGACTAAGGACAAGAAAGGCATTAACAAGAGTGAAAAAGACTTCACTCTTTGCTTCCAAATATATTATTTAATTAGGAGGTAAATGACAACATTTTATAGGACCTCCAACATGTATCTAGTTTGTTAGACAAATGTCTTATTTTACAAGGCAAGTTTCACATATATGCACCAAATCAAATGCAGAGCTCCAAAATCCAAGGAGGTTAAACCTACAACTTCAAGGTGATTCTAATATAAAACATGTAATAGTGCTAGTGGAAAATACAAAGAGTAGAGGCTGTTGCTTTTCAGCCAACATTGATTCTTTATGAAGTTTTTATTGAGCAATTTTTATTTATTTATTTAGAGATTCTTTAGTTAATGAAGTTGGTTCAAAGAAGTTTTGCATTGCAATGCCTTAGTACTACGAGAAAAGGGTTATTAAGAGTGAATAATGATATCAAAGAAGAATCAAATATATTATATATTTTCATGCAAGAATTGGATTCTTTGGAATAACATTCAATAGGATGATGTTTGGATTAGATGGTGTCATGTGGTAATACTACTATATAGTAAAAAATAAAAATCTGGATGTTATAATAAAAAAGCTTAACAAAAAGATATAACAAAAAAATAAAAATAAATAATAAAAATATAATAAGAACTTTAGTCTTAATATTAATTTTTTATAGAAGAAATTTCTATTTACTTGGTAGAAGCATAAATGAATCAAATCAAAATAAATAAAATAAGAAATTGATATAGACATATTTAAGAGAGAATTAATAATAAGTTAAAATAAAATTACCTCAAATTATTAAAAAATAATATCCAAAAAAGATTAGTTGTCAACGTAGATTGAAATCTGATCCCAAGACACAAAATTGTATACCTATAGTGACTTTGGGGTTCTTTTGTAAATTGAAGAGTAAAGTTTGAGAGTAGACTTAAAAAAGAAATAAAAAATAAATTAAAGTTGGTTTCATATCATTTGGATTAGCATTAAGGTTTTGAAGGATTTTCAAAGATAATAATGTACTTTGTGGATTTAGATTTTAAAAAATAAAAATAAATTTACAAATTTGAGGATTTTGTGAATTTTTTAGCATATATATAAGTAAAAATTTGACCACCTTGGCTTCTATTGTGCCTTTCATCCATGACCAATGTAGAAGGATGGTTGCCAAGGCTATTGCATCCTTAATTGCTACTTCTACTATCTATAAGAGTATAGAAGGAATGTCGATAGATCTCTTCCATCATTTGGGCCATATGATTGCTTATTGACAAGTTAGAGGCATGATGCTTGAAGGCGTTCTAGAAGTCTTCTCTAGTGGTGTAGTGCAGAGTATAATGAGATTGAGTGTTCATATTAAGATCATTATTTAATTATTGTAGTGTTGAATTTTTGCAGAAGTTTTTTGAATGAATGACAAAGTTCTACTTACTAGCTTGTTGTGAGTGTGACTTGAGTGTGGTGTAAGCTTAATTGACTTGCTGTAATTTTGATTTGGGTGCAAATATTTTGTTAAAGTGCACTATGGTGCAAGTTGCCATCTTTAGCACCACCATCGTAGGAGTATCTCTGTAGATCATTGTCCTAGAGATGCTCTCTTGATCTCAATTAATCACTGCCATAGTGATACTTCCTTGATCTTACTTGATCACAACTATAGTGATGTTTACTTAAGCCTAGCAGATTACTGCAATGGTGGTTTTTTTTTTTTTTTTTTATTTATTATTATTATAGTTGATAAATACTAATAGTGTGCATGGAAGTAGTAACAATGGAGGAATTGTCTTCTATTTTTTATGTGCCGCAAGTTCATCACTAGATTTTCATTTTATTATATGATTTTTTTCAACTAAAAATAAATAAATATGAATTTTTTGATTGAGATTGAGTTATATACAAATTTCATATTTGATTTTGCCTTTGGATGTTGATTTCTTTATTACTAATATTTTTCAAGATACTTGTGAATTTTAGAAGGATTGTTTTATTTGTTAATATTATAAATGTTACTAAACACTTAATTTAGGTACTTTATTGATATCTTGTGGATGCCTTATTCAAGTACTCTATAGGTGTCCAATTTAAGTACTTTGTGGGTGATTAGTTTTGGTACATTGTTTGTATCTGATTTTGATATTTTGTAGGTATCATAGTATAATATCTTCTTGATATCCTCGTCTGATATCTTGTAGGTATCTTTGATTGATATCCTATAGATATTTTTAATTAATATTCTATAAATATTCTTATTTGATACCTTGTGGATATCCTTGCTTAATATCCTATGGTGATTTTTAGGTAATATTTTTTTGATACCTTTGATTGATATGTTGACAGAGACTTCAATTGTTATAGGATTTAGCACTTCTATTGATAGTTGGTAGAAGTTATTTAATAATACTTGATATAATATATCAATTGATATTTAGGAGTGTACAATCATAGACTTGTCTTGGATTTGATCAATGCAACCTTCAATCAAAACTATGCCTATTCATTTCTTTGTCATGTTTTCTTTGTTATGTTTTATTATCTTGTTTGTCTTCACCACTGTTGATAAACTTTTGTAAGTCAAGTTTTTGCATCTTCTATTTTTTTTATTATAATAGATTAGATCCATTATCTCTTCTCCCTTACAATAAATATCTTTGAAAGAAAAGGTCATAGATCTTCAAAAATACACTATAATTATTCTTCTATTTTTTATAGAAGTTCTTTTTTTGCTTCATAAACATTATTATTATTATTATTTTTTTTCCTAACATTGTAATATCCACTTTTAAACTATCAATTTGGTCTAATAATAATTGAACATGTTTTGTTATAAACCTATCATCTTCTTCAAAATTTTTCAAACTATTTAAAATGTTATTTTTTTGTTGTTTAAATACTTGAAGAGATAATAATTTACTTAAATTTTTCTTTCTTTTAATTGTTGCTAGATATTGTATATAATCCTTGTTAATTTTTTTTTTACTTTCTATTGATATTATTAATATAAAAATAACTATTCTATTTCCTAAATAACTAGGTTCATTATTAAATTCTTTTTTTTCTTTACAAATTGTTTTGACACATCTTCTCTTATAACTTTCTACTTTGCTCTATTTGATCCTATTACTATCATTTTTTTATTTTTGATAATGTTTTTTTCAAAGGATTTTTTTCTTATAGTTATTAAATTTCTAATTTTTTTTTTTTATCAATATCCTCTATTGTAAAAATCCTACTTATACTAATACTTGTAATCCTATCTGCTTCATTGTTGTGAATTCATTTAGAGCCAATAGATGTGGTTCAATAATTACCGATCACATGTGATTTATAAGTATGATTACAAAAATCCTTATTCTTTTTTTTATTATGTTCTTATCTATTTTTGTATGCATTGTTTAGTACCACAATATCAAATGGCTTCTCTTCTCTTTCTTTGTAAAACTTTTTCTTTGTAGATATGTATTTCTCAACCTCTACAGTCAAAACTTCTTTGTATACAGACATTGCAATTGAAAAATATTCCATACCTTATATTCTATCCATTCCTTCATCTCTTGAATTCTTTTCTATAATAATAGCAATAATCATAGAAATAGATAAATCTTCTTTATGCTCTTTTTTCTTCATTGCCTTATTATTGAATTCAACTTCTTTTAATTCCTTATTTATTCTAATCCTCTGAATTTCAGCAATCAATAAGCTGATAAGAACATCAGCCATTATCCAAATAATACTATGGTTAGTTTTCCTTAATTTTTCCCAAATCTTCTACAATTCTATCTTCAAATTGTCTTTCAAAATAATGGACCAGTTAACATGATCATCGTTCAATGCACTTTGCATATAATTAATGAAAGTTGAAGGTGCATTAGTAATTCTTCACTGAAAATATAATGTAGCATATTAGAAATGAATAACAGATCTTGC